TGTTCATTGCCTAAAAATATGGTGCTTTCACATCTCAGAAAGTTGGGAGGTATGGACATGTTGACTACAGCCTGAAATGTATACTGGGATAGTAAGAGGTGCAGGGGCATGTGTAGAAGCTTCCAATTGTGCTGTCCCAGCAGGACCTGTACTGGGATGCATATAGAAGTCAACATTATCATGGCAGACCTGCATATAGAGTTTCCTCTCACATTGTCAGCCACCCGCCACTGACTGCAGGGGCACTTTCCATGCAGGTCATGTGATCTGTTATGTCACAACTGAGCTAGAGGGAAGGAATAGGAACGTGTTCCTGGGTTCAGTACCAGTTGGCCACAAATCAAAGAAGAGGGCAGTTCTGCAATATTGAAAACACACAGGAGATGAGGTAGAAGCTCTGACTGACCGGGTGGGGGAGGATCCAAGATACATGTCACCCAAACGTATTGAGAGACTTGACATATTGGGGTCTATTCACGAAGATGCCGAAGGATCTAGCCGCAACTTCGGCCGATCCTTCGGCTAGCTTCGTCCCCAGGACTCCTTTGGTTTAGTAGAACCGAAGGGGTGCTGTACGGGCTATTCACTATAGCCCGTACAGCTCCCGAACGTGGCCGAGCGGCTCAGTCGAGCCGAACGCATATGCTTCGGCTCGGCTGAAAGCCGAAGCTGGCCGAGCGGTCGGCCATTGGCCGGCCGACAGCCTGCTTCTGACAGCTGGGCGGAGCCAGCCGTGATCTTACGGCTGGCTCCGGCCACTTGCAGAGAGATCAGACAAGCCGATGTAAGGTTGATTTCAGCCTGAAGTGAATAGCCGAACAGGGTCGGTTGTTCACTCGGCTGCCCTCGGCAGCTTAGTGAATAGACCCCACTGTATATAGTCATGTAGGGCAAAGTGACAGTGTTTCTACAAATGGCAACCCACTTATACTCACATTAACCTGCACTGCCCCTCAGATTTGCTCTTTTGCAGCCAAAATCAGCTGTGTCGGCAACCTGGTGAAGAGGGGCATTTACCTCTCCAATCATGTGGAGAGATAATTTTTTTTAAGGGTAGCATATTCAGAGGTTAGATCCTCTATCAGATTTGTATGGTCCATCTCCTTGCTGGGAAGACCCTCAGGGCCCAAGGAAACACATGTTTTTGCTTTGCATGATAAAACACCTGCTAAATGTGTGGTGCTAGTCATTGTAAATGCACCCCAATACATTGCACAGTAGAACCCTATGCACAATATACCACAGCGGACCACAACTGTATATGCATTGGGGGTGTCCTGTGTTTTCTTTTCATCAGCTGCGGCGCATTGGCAGCCTATTCATTATGAATGGGCTGACATAACACAACGCACGTTAGCGCATGTCATAACGCATGTTGACGCATATTCATTAAGGGGCTACGACAGAATGATTTACTGCGAATCGGCCCTCACTATTTGTCACGATGACCATCCTCATCAGGACAGAAGATAAGGTGAAACCCAAAACATTATGGTTGGAGATGACAAAGGGGGTAGAGGATGTATCCTCCAAAGTAGATGCTAACTAAATGACATTTAATTAGCTAAAGCACTGTGTGTCATAATCACATTACATTTTCTTAACAGAATAATCTTTTCACCTTTTTTATCTTTTGTTGCATCTCAGAGTTGCTGATCTCCTGCAGCCTCTATTCAGTCACTTCCTGTCTACATGCACTCATGGTTAATGCCTGTGCATTGTTTGCTGGCACAGCCACTTGTAGTCTCCATTGGAAAACTGGGTGACAACACAGTAGCACAACTGGGAGACAGGGACAGAGAGTGTTGTCATCCTATAATAGGAAGTGTCTGAACAAGAACCTTCATGGCAGGATAACAAGGTATTAATTTAATGAAAGCTGCAGAATATTGGCAATGACTTTTGAATTTACATTAACATATTAAAGACATTTTAGTAATCAGGCTTACATAACCCTTTCCAAAGGATGCTTTTATTTTAACTAACTATATTCAGGGTCCTAGCACAGAGCAGTGCTGAAAGTTCCTTACACTATGCAGCTTTCTTATATAGAGTCAGAGCCACAGCATTACAAGCGTTAAATATCTACTGCTAATTACTTGGCAGTGGATGAACATGAATTTACATAGCGAAAGTGATTGTTACACACGGATCTTTCTTTATATGTGAAGATTTCTGTTACCACAAACATGTCAAATTATGTAATTAAATATTCTGTAGTGCAATGCAGCATGATACAACATTTGTCTTGCTGGAATTGGATTAAAGATTGTCATAATCATTGGGTAATAGTGATCACAATGTGATTACTTTTAATATTGAACACAGAAAAGGGAAGTGTACTGGAAGGACTAGAACCCTAAACTTCAGAAGGGCCAACTTTGAGAAGCTGCGCAACCTAGTGGGGGAAATAAAATGGGAAAACTTATTTCAAAACCTAAACACAGACCAGATGTGGGATTGTTTTAAAAACACAGTACATACTGCTACTTCAAAGTGTATACCTTTAGGGAGCAAAAATAAAAGATCAAAGACTAAACCAATATGGTTTAATAAAACTGTAAAACAACACGTCAAGGACAAGAGAGCGACATTTATAAAATATAAGACGGAAGGGACGGCATTGGCGTTCCTTAACTACAAAACTCAAATACTATATAATGCAAATTGCGTGCATAAAGGAAACAGCCTTCAAAGAGATTCCAAACTGTTTGAAGTGACTC